GAAATTAATCTATTTCCAGTTTGGTGGAGGACAGATTTTTAAATTATATCTTTGTGATTCTCTGGATTTTTTTCGTATTTGTTGCAACGGCTCCTTTTTCATCTCTAATTTTATTAATTCAGCTCTTCTCTGTCCATCTTCTGGTTAATTTGGCTAAAGATTTCTGAATCCTGTTGACTTTCTCAAAGGTCAAGTCTTTGTTTCATTGAATCTTTGTATTTTGTTTTAGTTGCTGCTGTTTGTTTAATTTCATTGATTTTAGCCCTGAGTTTGATTGTTTTTTCACATCTACTCTTTTTGTGTATTATTTCTTCTTGTTTTTCTAGAGCTTTCAAGCATGTCACCTAAGTTACTATGATGAAATTTCTTCAGCATTTTATGTTGACACTTAGTGCTATAAACTTGCTTCTTAGAACAGCTCCCATTGTGTCCCATTTGTTTGAGTATGCTGTGTTTTCATTTTCATTTAATTCTGAAACACTTTTAATTTTCTTACTGATTTCTGTCTTGACTCAATTTTCATTCAGTGGTTAGTTGTTCAGCTTCCATGAGTTGTAAACTTTCCACTGTTTCTATTGTTAATATCCATCTTTAATCCATAATTGTCAGTTAAAATCAAAGTGTTATTTCAATTTTTTTATATATTATATTGTTGTTGGTTGTTCCTTTCCTCTTTTGGTGGGCCCACCACCCATCTCCCAAATAAATCACACACAGAGGCTCATTTTTACTTCTAAATACCCACCTTAGCTGTTGTAGAATATTATTTTAAGGTGTGTTACTTTTGTTTATGTTGCATTTATTTAACTCTGTGAAGCTGTGTTACTGTGCCTGTCTAAAACACCTGATGTTCTAATAAAGAACTTAATGGCCAATAGCAAGGCAGGAGAAAGGATAGTCAGGGCTGGCAGGCAGAGAGAAAATGTAGAAGGAGAAATCTAGAAGAAGAGGATAGAAAGAAGGAGCCAGAGAAGGAGGAGGTCATCAGGGACCAGCCACCCAGCTAGCTACACAGCAAACCATGGAGTAAGAGTAAGATTTACAGATGTAAGAGAACAGGAAAAGCCCAGAGGCAAAAGGTAGATGGATAATTTAAAGTTAAGGAAAGCTGGCAAGAAATAAGCCAAGCTAAGGCCAGACATTCATAATTAAGAATAAGCCTCCATGTGTAACTTATTTGGGAGCTGGGTGGTGGGACCCCCAAAAGAGTAAAAAAAACAACCAACAACGCTTAGCTTGGCTTGTTTCTTGTCAGCTTTTCTTAACTTTAAATTATCCCATCTATCTTTTGCCTCTGGGCTTTTACCTTTCTCTTACTTCTGTATATCTTACTTTCACTCTTACTCCATGGCTTACTGTGTGGCTGGGTGGCTGGCCCCTAGTGTCTTCCTCTCCTTGTTCTCTTGAGTTTTCTTTTCCTCCCAGATTTTTCCTTCTATTTATTCTCTCTGCCTGCCAGCCCCACCTATCCTTTCCCCTGCCTCGCTATTGGCTGTTCAGCTCTTTATTAGACCATCAGGTGTTTTAGACAGGCAAAGTAACACAGCATCACAGAGTTAAACAACTGCAACATAAACAAAAATAACATACCTTAAAATAATATTCTATAGCTGGCGGTGGTGGCACACACCTTTAATCCCAGCACTCAGGAGGCAGAGCCAGGTGGATCTCTGTGAGTTTGAGGCCAGCCTGGTGTACAGAGTGAGATCCAGGACAGGCACCAAAAACAAAAACAAAAACAAAAACAAAAACAAAACAAAACAAAATACATGGAGAAACCCTGTCTCGAAACCCCCCCCCAATTTCTACAACATTATACTTTTATATGTTATATTTTTTAAGTGTTGAGACTTTCACTGTGTCCTAATATGTAGTCAATTTTGAAGAAAGATCCATGAGCTGCTGAAAAAAAAAGTATATTCTTTAACATTTGGGTGGAGTGGTCTATAGATTCTGTCAGGTTTATTTGATTTAAGACAATAATTAACTAGCATTTCTGTTTGGTTTTTGTCTGGATGACTCATCTATCGGCAAGTGTGGGGTATTGAAGTAATCTATTATCACTGTGTGAGAGTCAATATGTGATTTTAACTGTAGTAGTGTTTCTTTTATAACTTGAATGCCATTGTACTTGGTGCATAAATGTTTAGAATGGCTATATTCCTCTTGGTGGATTTTTGGTGAGAATGTACTGTCCTTCCTAATTTATTCTGATTAATTTTTGTTTGAAGCCTGTTTTAAAAGATATTAAAATGTCTACACTTGTTTACTTCTTGGGTCCATTTGCTTGGAAAATCCTTTTTCATTCTTTTCCCCTAAAGTGATGTCTGTCCTTGTTGGTGAGAAGATGAACCCTGTTTTCTAATCCAATCTGTTAGTTTATGTCTTTTTATTTGGGTACTGAGACCATTAATATTGGGAGATACTCGTGAGCAATGTTTATTAATTTCCATTATTTTGTTGTGATAGTATGGCTTTTTCACTTTTTTTTTTTTACAAACAGTTCTGGAATTATTTATTCCTTGTGTCCTGTTGGGTGTAGTTAGTCTTCTCTTCAGAGTAAAGATTTCCTTCTAGTGCCTTCTGTAGAATGAACATAAATTGCTCATTTTTTTTTTATCATAAAATGTTTTTCTTTCTCCATTGATTGTGATTGAGGGTTTTCTGGGCATAGTGGTCTGAGTTGGCATCTCTGGTCTCTTAGAAATGGTAGAGTTTTTTTTTCTGGCCCTGTCTACTTGGTATCCTGTATACTTCTTGTATCTTGATAAGCACCTTATTCATTAGATTGAGGGAATTTTCTTCTATGATTTGTTTAAAAATATTTTCTGTGCCTTTGACTTAGGTTTCTTCTCCTTCCTCTGTACCTTTCACTCATAGATTTGATCTTTTCATAGTGTCACCGAGTTCCTGGATGTTTTGTGTCTGGGTTGTTTTTTAGATTTAACATTTTCTTTGACAAACTATCCATTTTTTTCTACCATGTCGTCATCATCTGAAACTCTCTCTTCCATGTTTCTTTGTTTGTTTGTTTTGTTTCATTTGTTTGTTTGTTTTTTCAAGACAGGGTTTTTCTGTATAGCCCTGACTCTGTTGTAAGTCCTGGAACTCTGTAGAAAAGGCTGGCTTCGAACTCAGAGATCTACCCACCTCTGTGTCGCAAGTGCTGGGATTAAAGGGCTGCGCCATCACTGCCCGGCCCTCTTCCATGTTTCTTAATCTAAAGTTTTTATTTGACAACCTGTTTTCTATTTCTATTTTCATTTCAGTTTGGGTATTTTTAAATGGATTCTAATTATTTATTAGATTCTTCTTTCATCTCTTGAATTATTTTCAATTGTTCAATGTTTGTGTTTTCACAATCTTCATTAAGGCTTTTATTTATACCCTCTTTTATGTCTTCAAGCACATTCATAATTTCTACTTTGAAATCCTTTTCTTGTGTTTCAGCTAAATTGCTTTTCTTGTGGCCTAACACAATAAGGTTGCTGGATGTTCACATGGCCTTGGTTGCTCAAGTTTATGATTTTGCAGTGGATGTAAACATCTGGAGTTCTGACATTTGGATTGTTTTTTAGTGTAGATAGCTGGTCTTGTCTTTGTTGGGAAGGTTTTTCATCATTTGGTTGCTGTTGCCCACTCTGAGTCCTATCCAAGTATGGTCCATGTGAAGTCCCAGGTAGATGGGCTAGACAAAAGGGAAGGGGAGTACTAGGGGAACCCTGGGTCTACATAAAAAGGGTAAGCCCCTAGGGGGATGGGGATGGGCTAGGAGGAGAGGCTCTTACAGGCAGGTTTCAGCAAGGCTAATGGTAAGTCTGGAGAGACTGGAGTAAGCTTTTGTTTTGTTTTGTTTTGAGTTGTATTGTGTTGTTTTTAAGACAAATTCTGACTATGAAGACTAGTCTGTTTTTGAACTTGTATTCCTCCTGCCTGAGTATGCCAAAACCTGGCTTATAGGCATGCCCCACAATGTACATCTAAGACAACTTGTTTCTTTTGTTCTTTTTCTTTTTTTTTGTTGCTTTTGTTTTTATTTATGTTTGAGCACTGGGCCTTGTACATGTTTGGCAAGCAGTCTATCACTAGTCTATATTCCCTAGGCTGGTGATTTATTCTTTTAAGATTTGAAAAATAAATTTGTGTGTATATATGTGTGTATACATGTATATGTGTACCCTTGGGAGCCAGAAGAGGATGTTGGATCCCCTGGAGCTGGCTGGAGTTACAGGCAGTTGTGAGCTGCCCAATGTGGATGCTGGGAAGTAAAATGGCAGTCCCCTGGAGGTACAACAAGTTCTTTTAACCTGCTGAGCCATCCATCTCCTCAGGCCCCCAGTGGTTTATTTTTATTGGAACTAGCACCTTGGCTTTTACTGTGTAAAGATCCAACTCATGGAATTCTCTGTGCCTGCATGTTTTCAATGCTGTTTCTCAATCACAAAACACCTATCTCTTTTCATTCTGCTTGGCCACATGAAGAGAGGGAGCCTCCAAGTTTCATTTCTTTATTATTAACCCTTCGAAGTAGATGTTCCCATAGGGAATCCAGAGGGGGACTAGAAACTTGTTTGATTGGAGTTTCTATCAGTTTACCCAACTCTCATCTAGGCAGCACCAGCAGGTTTTAGGATCTGAACATGGTTATATGTTCATTCATCTACTCCCCACATTAACAGTGTTGTCAACTTTAGAGATCCAGAACAGTATCGGACTACTTACCGTATAGTTCTGAGTCCCAAATATTTGAATTCTCCACAAAATTGTGGAGGTTGGATCACCAAGATAATTATGTCTTCTCTTTAGATATTTGGGCCTTAGAGTGGTAGGATAAACTCCCAAACTCTGTGTTGGAGTGTCTTCAATCTCTTCCTTCTGATGTCTAGCCACAGTGGTGAGAGCTACACATTTTTATTAACTTGTTCTCACCTCAGGGTGTTCTTTAATAGGGAACTGAACTCTGTGTGATACAGAACATAACAGTAAAATTCATCACAGAATTTTTTTTTATGCTTACCATGCAACAAAACCTTTATTAACATTTTTAACAGAGGTTCAGCTATTACTGAAACTTGTAATTTCTAAACTTAAATTGGGGCAAACAGCTATAGTGCAGAGTAATGCCATCACTGCCCACTGGGAATGCAGACTGAAGAATTAATAGCCACCCCTCAGACGGAGGACCAGGTGCAGGGTGGACTCTTTCTGGATGTTGTAGTCAGAAAGAGTGCGGCCATCTTTCAGCTGCTTGCCGGCAAAGATGAGTCGTTGCTGGTCAGGGGGGATGCCCTCTTTATCCTGGATCTTGGCCTTGACATTCTCGATGGTGTCACTGGGCTCCACCTCTAGGGTGATGGTCTTGCCGGTCAGGGTCTTCACGAAGATTTTCATTTTGACCTGTTCACGAGTGTGATGAAACCACAAACCGCCGAGCGTGTAGAGCCACCCAGATGCAAGCAGCTCCGCAGCAGACAAAGCCTCTCGTCACTCTCATCACAGAATTTTATTACCGCCCATTAGATCTTGGGAACAGGATTTAGACTTAGGTAGAATTCCTTTAAAATCATGACAGCCAATTACTGTCCTCTTTTGCTTATAAAATAGGACTGTGGGTGTACTTAAAGGAAGTCTATGTTGGATGGTTATAAGTATTATTAAATCATGTTTCCTCTGCAAATAAAATCCCCAAATTTTAATCAAACTTTAAAAACCATATTGCAAAGGCGGGGGAGAGCTGTGATCAAATGGATGCCCAAATCAATTTATATTTTATATACAGGAAACCATTTTTGAAATACTTTTTGTCTTCCATTCATTTCTTTGGCGTACTCACAACATGTGAGGTGAGAATAGGATTTGTCTTAGGCAAAAGAGAGGACTTCTGCCCAGAGATTAAAAAAAACAAAACCCATTACTCTAAGTATTTACACTGCACTAAATTAATAATATTTGGGGCCCTCAAATACTTGTCAGTTTTCTCCAAGTTACATTTGCAGAACTTGATGTATTTCAGGGACACTGCTGAGATAATACAATGTTTCTAAATGGATATTTTCATAAATCTCGTTATATCCTAAATACATACTGAAAAGTGCATTTGTATCAAGTATGTATAGCTTCACTATTAGAAAACTTACATTATTTTGAATTTAAATTTGGCCAGAAGCCTGAGAAATACATAGGGAACCTTCGGATGGTGAAGATTGTACTAGTGGTTTTCATTGCTGTGACAAAATACTTGAGAAAATAAACTCAACTGGTTGGGATATAGCTTACTGGTAGAGCACCTTTTTAGTATTCACAAGGCCCTGGGTTCCAGCCCCAGTACCACAGAAATAAATGTAAAGAAATAATGATTCAGCAATAAGGGCTTATCGTCAACCTCTGAAGAAGAGCAATAGCAATAGCCGATATTGTTTTGGGAGTCCTGTCAATGCCCTTGACCAACAGCTCAAAAGAAAGTTTCTCATGCCTGTTGTTTTTATTAGACAGCCTATACCTCTTAATGTGAACATTGACAACCCAAGTGGAATAACTTTATTTAAACTACATCTCACACACACGCACACGCACACGCACACACACAGCACATATCAATTATTTATTTTTTTCCGTTTTTCTTTATTAAGAAATTTTCTACTCACTCTATATACCACCCACAGATCCCACCTCCTCCCTCCTCCCACCCCCCAGCCTTCTCTCCCAAGCCACTCCACCTCCTTACATCTCCCAAATCAAGGTCTCCCATGGGGAGTCAGTAGAGCCCAGCACACTGAGCCGAGGCAGGTCCAAGCCCCTTCCCACTGCACCAAGGCTGCACAAGGTGTCACACCACAGGCACCGGATTCCCAAAACCCTGCCTATGCACCAGGGACAGATCCCGATCCCCCTGCCTGGGTGCCCCCTAAACAGTTCGAGCCAAACAACCATCTTCTGTATCCAGAGGGCCTAGTCCAGTCCCATTGGGGCTCCACAGCCACTAGTTTACAGTTCATTTGCTTCTACTAGTGTGGCGGGTCATCTCTGCATGTCTTTCCATCATGATCTCAATGTCCCCCACCTGCAGAATCCCTCCTCTCTCTCATCGATTCTGACAGAGGGCTGATCTCCAAAATATATAAAGTACTCAAAAAGCTAGACTTCAAAATACTGAACAATCTAAATAAAAAAATGGGCTACAGAGCTGAACAGAATTCTCAACAGAAGAATCTCAAATGGCTGAAAGACATTTAAGGAATTGTTCAACATCCTTAGTCATCAGGGAAATGCAAATCAAAACAACTCTGAGATACCATCTTAGACCTGTCAGAATGGCTAAGATCAAAAACACTGAAGACAGCTTATGTTGGAGAGGATGTGGAACAACGGGAATACTCCTCCACTGTTGGTGGGAATGCAAACTTGTACAGCCACTGTGGAAATCAGTATGGCAGTTTCTCAGAAAATTGGGAATAAGTCTTTCTCAAGACCCAGCTATATCACTCTTGGGCGTATGCCCAAGGAATGTTCAATCATACTACAAGGACACATGCTCAACTATGTTCATATCAGCATTATTCATAATAGAAAGAACCTGGAAACAACCTAGATGCCCCTCAACTGAAGAATGGATAAAGAAAAGGTGGCACATACACACAATGGAGTACTACTCGGCAGTAAAAAACAATGATATCATGAAATTTGCAGGCAAATGGATGGAACTAGAAATATCATCCTGAGTGAGGTAACCCAGACTCAGAAAAACAATCAATTTGTATTCCCACCAAGTGATAAGGGTTCCCCTTTCCCTACATCCTCTCCAGCATTTGTTGTCAATTCTTTGTTGATCTGTGACATTCTGACTGGGGTAAAATGAAATCTCAATGTTTTTTTTGTTTGAATTTACCTAATTCATTCAAGGCTGATAAAAAAAATTTTGAGATATTTCTTAGGCATTTTTTTCTTCTTTTGAGAACGCTCTGTCTAGATACACAGCCAACTTTTTAATTAGGCTGTTTGCTTTCTCAACCCTTTGCTTGTTGAGTACTTTCTATACTAATCCTGTGTCAGATGTTTAGTTGGCAAAGATTCTCTCATTCCATGAGCTTTCTCTTCACTCAAATGTTTCCTCCAATGTGCAGAAGCTTTTCAGTTTTATAAGGTTCCCTCTTGTTAATTGTTGGCTTTATTTAATTCATGGGCAAATGGAGTTGTACTCAGAAAGTCCTTTTCTGCACCTATATCTGTAGGGTAGCGCCTATGTTTTCTTCTAGCGATCTCAGTGTTTCAGGTTTTAGTGGAGGTCTTTGACCCATTTGGAGTTAGGTTTTGTATCAGGCAAGAGATACAAATCTAATTCTATCTTTCTACACATGGACATCCAGTTTTCCAATTTTCCAGCACTATTTGGAAAGTATGTCTTTTCTCCAGCATATGTTTTGGTCATGTTTGTTAAATATTGGATGAAAGCAGTTATATATTCATGTTTGGGTCCTCAGTTTTGTTTCATTGGTCCATATGTCATCTTTTTTATGCCAATACTATGGTCCTATTATTACTATAGCTTTATAATATATCTTGAGACCTGGTATGATAATCTCTCCAGTATTGTTCTTCTTATTCAGATTTTATTTGACTATCCTTAGTCTTTTGTAGCTCCGTATGAATTTTTGGATTTATTTTCCATTTCAGTATTTTTTTCTTGTTGCATCCATTTGCCTGCAAATTTCATGATGCCATTTTTTTTTTTTTTTTTTTTTTTTTTTTGGTTTTTCGAGACAGGGTTTCTCTGTGTAGCTTTGCGCCTTTCCTGGATCTCGCGCTGTAGACCAGGCTGGCCTCGAACTCACAGAGATCCGCCTGCCTCTGCCTCCCGAGTGCTGGGATTAAAGGCGTGCGCCACCACCGCCCGGCTCATGATGCCATTTTTAACAGCTTACCAATACTCTATTGTGTAAATGTACTACATTTCTCTCTCTCTCTCTCTCTCTCTCTCTCTCTCTCTCTCTCTCTCTCTCTCTCTCTCTCTCTCTCTCTCTCTCCTCTCTCTCAGGATTTCTCTGTAGTCCTGGCTGTCCTGGAATTCACTCTGTAGACCAGGCTGGCCTTGAACTCACAGAGATCTGCCTAGCTCTGCCTCCTCATTACTGGGACAAAAGTTGTGCGCCACTATACCTGGCCAACATTTTTTTAGTTTTTAAAAGAAAGAATGGTTTACTTTGTCTCATGCTTTCAGAGTTTCCTTTTATGTTCACATGGCTTTACCTGGCCTTGTACTAAGGAAGAATGTTGGTGGCCTGTACTATGGCAGAATGTTGGTGGCAGAATGTGGTGGAGCAGAACTTCCCACCTCATGGAGGCCAACACTGTTAAATGAAATATCTTGCAGATGTCTCTTACATGTACTCAGAGACTTCATGTACACATTCTAAACCTGCTACACATAGTCTTGCTTTCATAATTTTCTTTGAAATATTGGCAGAACCTCACTTCACAGTATAGTTCTAAGTCAGATATTGTGATATCTCCAGAATGACAGTCCCTGCGAATGGTTGCTTTGTTTATTGGGATCTTTTGTGTTTCAACATGCATTTTAGGGTTGTTTCTTCTGTTTCTTTGAAGACTGTCTTTGGGATTGAACTCACAGTAATAGAACAATTTTCACAAAGTCATTTTTCCTTATACATTAAAGTGAAATGTCTTTCCATATTTTAGGGCTGTCTTTTATTTCTTTCTTCAGTGTTTTGAAGACTTTATTATAGTGGTATTTTGCCTTCTTGTTTAGATTTATTCTGAGGTATTGTTTTTTGAAGCAATAAAAGAAATAAGTGGGATCCCCCCTCATTTCTATCTCAACTACTTTATTATTTACATAAAAGAAAGCTCCCAGTTCTTATGCTTGGCCTTATATCTAGATATTTTTCTAAAAGTATTTTCTAAGAACTTTCTGGTGGAATCTTTAGGGTTTTTAGGCATAGGATCATATCACCTGAAAAAATTTGAGTAATTTTCTTTCTTTCCTACTTGTATCATTTTTATTTTGCTTGTCTTATTGCTTTGGCTAAGAATTAAAGCATTTTATTTAGCAAGAGCAAACAGAGTCAACAACCTTGTCTGATTTCTGATTTTGGAAGAAATTATTTGAGTTTTTTCTCATCTAGTATTATGTCACTACAGTTTTGTTGTATATACACTGTAATTTGTTGAGATGTGTTCATTGTCTTCCTAGGTTCAGAGTTTTTTTTTTTTATCATGAAGAGATGTTTAACTTTGTCAAAGGTTTAATCTATTGGGGTGATCTTAGGCAAACTTCTGCATCCTGTTACACTTATTTTTATATTCTGAACCATTTTTATATCCCTGAAATCAAACCAACTTGACTATAGTGAATGAGACTGCTAAATGTATTGGTGAATCCAGTTTGTAATAATTTTCCTGAAAAATATCT